ACAACAATTTTCAATTTTGCATACAACAGAATATCATTTAACATAAATCCATCGTTAATGGGTTCCATTTAAAAAAAGGCAATTACAGAAAATAATTATTTACTACAGAGCACATCATGAGGCTTACTTATGAGCTAGGAAAAAAAAAACCAAACACCTGATGGACTGAGGTCAGCAAAGAACAAGTGAAGGGAAAATGTGTGGGAAGAAAGGGAGGCGTGTTTTACCGCGGACATCATTTGGTGACTGGAAAAAGGGAAGTACAGTAGGAGTCCACTCAGTACTGAAGAGTTCCTGCATCACAGGGGTGCCCAAACCCTGGCTCGGGATGACCTCAGCTGAAATGTGTTGCAGGACCAGCAGCAGAGTTGTGATGGTGCAGTCGCTAGTGGATAATACAGTCTCCTCATGCAGAAAGAAACAAGCAGGGACTCTGGAGGCTGCCATCACTAGGTCAACCCCAGATGCTGCTGTGCGTTCTCCCAAGCCCAGCCCACAGGGAAGCAATGGGATCCCTGGGAAACTGCTATCACGTTTCACTTATTAAATGCCTTTGGCTCTCTCCCTCCTCAGACACACAGTTTGTATCTCAATGATCACGGTGAAATGACTGGATCAGTTTGGCCTGAAGCAGACCAAAGGATGTTGCAAGCATTTTTTTTTTATTTTTTTTTTACTGTGTTTGATAATTTCTGTGGAAAAAAAAACAGTGACACCCACAGCATACTTGTGTTTGAAAAGATATGGGCAAAATTGCACAGCCTTTGGATAAGTACCTGTCAGAAAGGCTATGTATTGCTTTGAAAGTGAACCCTCCCAAGCCCACATAGAACAGGTTCTTCCCCACTCAAACTAGCCTGGTAAGACACTATGAGCCATCAGACTCAATGTGGTCTCTGAAATACAGCTCTCATAGCTCCTCATCCCATACTGCACTAGGAAAAAGTCCAGCTATTTTCCCCTCAATAAACATTGGTGCACTAGTTCAGCAGCATCTTGAAGCAATTAGGGAAGACACACACAGCCTCTCTTCATTCAGACACTGCTGCCTGAAAACTCTCAGCTCTCCTCCTGCCTATAGCAATAGAAACACCAGCCTTCTTGCCTTGACCACTGCGGTATTAGCAGTACAGGTGGAGGGAAAGAAGGTATTACAAAAAGAAGTATGACATAGGATGAATCACAGGGAAAAATTACAGGAAGTAAGATAGTGTGGAGAAATACCAATTCATCAGACCACTGGGTACTTTTGACTGAGCAGACTCTTACCGTAATAAGGAAGCACACTGTCATACTAGCGATTTGCCAGTATCCTGCACAGCATGAAAGGTGTACGTCCAGTCTCACGCTGAGAATCATTGCATTTGGTCACAAGACAAACATACTTCTAATCATGGAGCAGAATAGGGGATGTCAACTCCTCAGGACAGGCAGTAGCAAGGAGCAGACTATAGACCAATTCATAGTTCCAGTGTATCAGAAAACGCTAATCCTCAGAAAGGTGGTATCTTTATCTCGCAGAGACGCAGAGCTCCTTTCAGCTCCACAAACAGATCTCAGCCACATGGCAACTGTCTGCTGACATCTGACTTCCCTCATGCTCCATAGGCTGACAGCATTAAAGGCACCGTGTCTCAAAACTAGACCACTACAGAATTAGGTGGAGGTTTGCTTTTTGGAACCGCAGGCCAGTCCCAACCCTATATGAAAGTTTGTAATGTATACTGTAAATAGAGTACCTTGCAGCATATCCAGTTTTTGCAAGATGTTGCTGCATTTTGGAATTTACCTGCTGTAGGGCACCGAAAATGAGCGTCAAAGATTTGCAGGGGGGAAGGGGATTGTATTTAATACTCCATGTGTGCATATGAATGATTCATATGCACATATTCAATGTACATATTCAATATCATATTCAAAATATATGACATTCATTCATATTTCTGCTGATGACAATTTTTTAAAATCCCATCATATAATTTAGCTTGAATGACTGTTTATTTTAAAAAGACTTCTAAGAACAGAATACACAGTTCTGTTTCAGAACACACTTTTTTAAAGCCATCTCACATTGCTGGGAAAATTATCAGAATCACTTTTTACTGCATCGTGTTTTCAATATTCTATGCATTCTATGTGTGCAGTCACTTCCTCTGTAAACAGCAAAGTATGAAGGAAGCATGCTGTACTCTGCAACATTTCACAGTAAAGTTCCTTTGTGGTTTTGTATTATGGAAATATATCACTCAAACCACCCTGGTAATAGTTCCCTCTCATGTATGGGAATAACAGTTATAACGTAAGGCTAGAAATCATAAAGAGTGGGATTTCTTGGCCAAGAAAAGATTTCTTACATGTATCCATTAGCCGCAAGCATATCAGCCATGTATCTGGTGTTTGGGAGTTGCCATCCAAATATATCATGAATCACAACCACAGCTTTGTCTGTGCTGGCAGGTGCTTTGCAAACATACGCCTTGATGTGCTCAACTTGTACTTCCTGCCCACAACCCTCATAGTCAAACCTGTCTCCAACACCACATGGGCAAGGCCTCGATTCATTAGCCATCTAGGAATCTGCAGGAAAGCAAAAAGGACAAACAGTAATATAATTTGTTTGCAGTAACAACTATCGTTATGGGTCATAATCTTCATGCAGTCCCCACAGTCCCCTCCAGACACCTAGTAATACCCACTTGGTACTGCAAGGTTAGAAGTGAAAGCACCAGGTGTTTATTGTAAACAGGCTTTTGACACCAGCCTGCTCTGGTTCCCAGAAATATTTGTGAATTCCAGGTCAGTCAGCATAACCCAGAAGTGCGGTAAGGCCAGAAGAAGCACTTATATCAGTCCACCATTCCTAGCTTTGTACCTGGAGCAATCCAACATGTGATAACTACTTTTCCATGTGATGTCCCCACACACTGTGCTTCATAATCATTCTTCCCAATAGCTCCTTATTGGGAAGGATAAGGAGCTTATAGCTCCTCCCCACAGGCTGGCACCTGGTAACCTCTTGCTGTTAATCCTATGAGACGCCACTGTCAGCATGCTGCTTTTCTGACTACTTTTTCCCTTCAAGTTTTCATCGTGCATGTCCCCTTTCCCTTCCTCCATGGGGAATCCAAGGCTGCTGCTGCTGCCTACATGCACTTCGCTGGTCCCTTCTATCCCCTGCTCCATACAGCCCTTTCCCAGGGAACCCATCATTAACTGGCATCTCTAAAAGTTCTAATAAATCAACTCGAAAAAGGTAAATCAGCAGAGGGTTTTCTCTGAGAGTTACATACTATGTAATCTGAACTGAGAGTGGTCAGAGGAATACAGAGACATACACCAGTGTTGTGCATGTAACACATCCTCATACATCACAGATACCTAACTTCTAAAGAAGTATACGTTTTGAAGTACGAAGTGGAAACTACTCCATTTCTCCTCAAGTGAAGAAAGGTTTCCAAAGAGTTTATGACCTACGAAGTCTTCTCAGAAGAATCCCTCAAGCTCAGTTTAATTTCTCATTCCTTTCAACTGGAGATAGGCTGCTATAGCATCTTTTTAAACCTAACTGACTTTTGGTACCCCCTACTCTTCCCCCTCCACCAAGCAGTAGGTAGTCATACACAGAGCCTTTTTTCTACCCTAGTCTGAGAAGCTGTTTAACATAGCTCTGCCGCCACTCTTAACCAATCAAAATGGCACCGTTTGCTTATTAACAAGAGCTAGTCTCTCTTCCCGTGTAAATGCATGCACTGGAACGATATTGCTTGGTCTGGCTGGTCCCCTTACTAAAGTGAAATGCAGCATGCTGGCAATAAAAATCAAATGCACTCTTCAATGCTTAACTATTTTTTGTTAGGAATATATATTAACCATTTATCCCCTTCTAGATTTTCTAATTCAAACAGATGTCAGATAAGACCTTTAATACACTTCCAATACTCCCTCCCCTCTTCAATTTCTCTGCTACAAATGTGTGTAACATGGTAAATGGTATTAAAAAAACCACAAGAAAACACAGTGAACAACAAAACAAATTACTCCAAATCCTGCCTCTTTACACCAGTTATGCTTTTCTCACAGGACGTGCTTTGGGGTGATACATGGGGAGGTTCCCAGCACCAAGAACTGGCCACCTTTAAGGATGTCTCAACAGTGCATTTTTTGAACAAAGCTCATCTCCTGACTTTCTGCAATCAATCACCACATAATCTCCAAAAGATGCAGCTGGAGTTTAACTTGCCAGTTTGACTGACTGCAGCTTTGCCAGCATTACAATGAGGCAGAAGTACCTTTTCCAAATCTCAGGCAAAGCAAAGGCATGAGACTTCAAACACACTGTAAACTGACCAGACTTCTAACAACTCTCCTACCATCGTGCTTGCTGACTGTTTTCCTTCACGAGCAGTTCATCTGAGCAGTAAGCCAACAAAAATTGATTTCTATTTGAGTAAAAGACTTGTTTCTTTTAAAATAAATCAGTTTAAAAATACATGTTAAAACACAAGCTGTGTTTAAACAAAAAGAGTAGTATTGCCAAGATTTAATAAACAAAAACAACATGCTGCATCAATAAGTTTTTTTTAAAATGTAGTGACTCAAAGAATGTTTACGAATTATTCACAGAAAGGGGTAAATCATCTTGTACTGCTGAGGCTATCCCTACAAACATGCAAAAATTCACAGCATAACCTTTCTTTGAACAGAGTGAATGCTTAGTGAAAAATACTAACTAAACTGATATGGATGCAGATTTTCAAAAGTACGTAAGAACAGTTCACAGAAGGGATTAATAGAGATGTTGAGCAGACCATGAACAAAACCCTTTTTTCTCCTCGCACCCCATAGAATTTATCTGGTACAGCTAAAATACATTTCAATAAAAATTGCAGGAACCCAGGACTTTAGAAGTTGCTTATTAATTAAATTCTAATTTTCACCTATATGTAATTCAATCACCACAAATTTAATGAGCAGCAGGTTATTAGTTTAGAAATCTGATTGTATTTGCAGTTTAGATCAGCTCTTTGCACTTGCAGGTGAGATCAGCTCTTTGCATTTATGAAACTTCAAATTAAATACAGTTCAAACTCGTCTGTGGCTGAGACACATGAAGACTTTTAACATATCAACTACTCAGGTTTGATCTCCACCTAAGAAACCAGCTGCATTGCCATCTCTTTTGACTTTTCTTTCAAAGCTTTACGAAGTGTGAATTTCATCATGAGTTTAAAATGCTGCATGCCTTGCCTTTTTTTCAAAAAATTACTTGCTATACTTCACAGTCTCACAGTTTTAGACAGTTTGTCACATTTTATCAAGCCCACATATGACATATTTACAGCCCAGATCTGGCATTTCCATTGCTTTGATTTACCCTTCCCAGTTTCAAGATTTAAGCTATCACATAAGCCCCTTTATAAAATAAAACCAAATAGTAAAACATTTTTGGTAAGACGCAGTTTAGGCAGAAAGCCCAATCTGTGAACTTCTGATACTGCAGCCATAGCACAACAGCATCTGTGCTGTTCTCCCACCCGCAGTGGTGAGCCTGGGGCTACGGCATCAACACAGAAATAGGTAACAAGACTCAAAACAGCTCTAGTTTGAAACATGTCTGTGCCTTCTCCTTCATCCCTCTATTTATTCTTCCCATTGCTCAGAAACGCCTCATCAGCCCTTTTCCTGCTTCCTCTATGCATGTCATCAAGGTGGCAACTCCCTGTCTTCTCATCCAGCAAGCTCTGAACCTCAAGTGATGGGAGTGCCAGACACGAAACTGGAAAAAATGGTCTCCACAAGAGTCTATACTGTAACAGAGGCTTCTCCTACCTTTAATGAGCGCTGGTGATGCTTGGATGGCAGAAGTTCAGATTTACTAGTTGCTATTCTTTAAATGCTACTTCTTCAGTGATACATATTTGGGTTGCTTAAGGTGCGTCCCCTTTCAATTGAGTTTTAGTTTGTGGCGTCATTTTTATGTGATTTTGCACTATTTGGCCAATCAAGTTTAAATAACAGAGAATTGCAAGGACATTAACTCAGCATTTTGGAACTAACACTGTTTGTCACGGTTAAAATTCCCTTAAGCAGCTCAGTATACCTCTATGTTTGTATGAGAAAAAAGATCTTACTCATGATGAGCAAGCATAAATAGAATCCCCTAAGGGTACAATTCAAATCATGCTTCTTCCAACTCATTGGCTTATCAACTTTTAATGATATCACAAGGCAATCTGATTTTGCCATGTACAGGAGATAAACCGATAAACATTCAGTAGTGCAAACATGCAGGGCGTGACGATGTTGTATCACAACCAGGGCTCCCTCTGAATAACTCGAGAGTCCTAAGGTGGAGCTGACATTCCACCTTTTATCATAATCCAGCAGGCTACAGCGCCTTGCTGCACGCAGAGACAACATTCAGCAGCTTTGCTTGCTACAGCTTCCCACTCCTCTGACAGCGGTGTACCATTACCGCAGGACTTGACAGGGACCATTCAGAGCGTTGATTATTGCAATTAGAGCCAAACCCCCTAAAAGTCTTCTTCATGACAATCAAGGAGAGGGGCCCCATCTTGTGGGCATTTCCTATCCACCCAGCGAGGATGGCTGCGAAGCTGTTAAACACAGTGCTTTTAATGCAGTGCTGAAAAGCTAGCTATGATAGCGATCTGCATCAGATCTCACCTAGAGTTATGTCTGGGCTGAGCAGCTAGGGGTTATGTGCAGAAAACACCTCCTTTCTTTCTCCCGAGGCAAAACATCCTCCCCTTTCCGCAGGTGTGAGGAATCCTGCCTCAGTACAGCTTTTAAAGACCTGGAGGAAAGTTTACACACTGCCTGCAAACTCCTTACCTGTGCACTGAGGCGGGGGGATGAGGGGAGTGAACTGGGATGAGGTCAGGGCATCCACCACCACCAAGGTCGACCAACCAAGCCTGGGAACAATTTATCGGGGGCCCCAGAAGCCATGGTACCTGTGGCCACATGCTGTGAACGGCAGGAGAGCCTGGATCCCCAGCATGGCTGGAGACACCCTGTGCCAGCCCTGATGACCCAGCGCTCAGCGTATTTGGAGAAGAGTACAGGCAGGGTTTCACACCTCTTCCGTAAAAGCTGTTTACACAACCTGCAGCTGCGTCCCACATGTGCTATCCCACAGCTACAACACCTGGCTCATTACCTTCACCTAAAGAGACTCCCCACTGAATGCTTATTTTTAAGAAGCTGTGTAGTATTTGGGAAAACAAACAGAAGAAAGCTCTTGCGCATGCAATGAGTGTTGCTAGCCCACTTCAAACAGGTTTTTAACACCAAGAATGCAACTGGCATTTTTCAGTTCAGGACAAGCTACAGCAGACACTGCTTTCCCAGCTCCCTCAAATTTATATTTTCCTGATTAGCAAAGGCTTCATCGTGCTCGCCCCTCGCCTCCCACAAAAATGATGTTATGTATGGCACTGCCTTCACAAACCCAGAATACTTGGAGGACTTTTCTGAGGCCATGAAGGCACACAGGGACAGGAGTGGTGCCAAGGGCCTGGAGCTCTCTTTGGGGTACGTGGGAAC